CCCTGTAGACTATAAGCTCCATAAAAGCAGGAACCTTCCTTCCGAAGAGTGGCTGGTGGGTTTGAACCGCCAGGCTTCCGGTTAGCAGTCAAGTGCCTTAGGCACTACGCTACCAGAGCTCCTGAGCAGCAAATTATGAATCTTAAATTCAAACCCTAGTTTCTCTGATACCAAATTCTATTCCTACCGTGTTTCAGGTACCTTCTATGCACTAGACACTGTATATTGTCTATTAACTTAGGCATAAGAAAGCAAAAAATTATTTTTTTAAATATCACTGTATGGCTGCACCATATGTTTAATAAGAGAAATTAGAGTCAGTTATTTTTAAAATAACTTAGTCTATGACTATAGTCTCTCAGAAGTAGTCATCTCTTTCAATTTGGTTTAATTCAATTTGGTAGAGGATTTAATTATTCTAGATTTATGTAGCATTAGTTTATCAGGCCCTGCCATTATGAAACAGGTGTTTTCTAAATTGTCTTTTATTTCTCTCTGTTTCTCATTTTAGGTGCTTTTAAGCCCTGTGAATATTTACTTGGAAGCTGGATGATTCGTCTTACTGTGTGGTTCATTTTCTTGGTTGCATTGTTTTTCAACCTGCTGGTCATTTTAACCACCTTTGCATCTTGTACATCATTGCCTTCCTCCAAATTGTTCATAGGCCTGATTTCTGTGTCTAACTTATTCATGGGCATTTATACCGGCATCCTGACTTTCCTGGATGCTGTGTCATGGGGCAGATTTGCTGACTTTGGCATTTGGTGGGAGACTGGCAGTGGCTGCAAAGTAGCTGGGTTTCTTGCCGTTTTCTCTTCAGAAAGTGCCATATTTTTATTAACATTAGCAGCCATTGAAAGGAGCTTATCTGTAATGAAAAATGGGAAAAGTGGTCATCTCAGACAGTTCCGGGGTGCTGCCCTTTGTGCCTTCCTGGTTGCTGCAGTAGCAGGCTGTTTCCCCCTTTTCCATAGAGAGGAATATTCTGCATCACCCTTGTGTTTGCCATTTCCCACAGGGGAAACACCAGCCTTGGGATTCACTGTAACTTTAGTGCTTTTAAACTCACTAGCATTTTTATTAATGGCCATTATCTACACTAAACTTTACTGCAACTTGGAAAAAGAGGACCTGTCAGAGAACTCACAGTCTAGCATGATTAAGCATGTTGCTTGGCTGATATTCACCAATTGCATCTTTTTCTGCCCTGTGGCGTTTTTCTCATTTGCGCCATTAATCACTGCAATCTCTATCAGCCCTGAAATAATGAAGTCTGTTACTCTGATATTTTTCCCATTGCCTACTTGTCTGAATCCAGTCCTCTATGTTTTCTTCAACCCAAAGTTTAAAGAAGACTGGAAGTTACTGAAGCACCGTATTACCAAGAAAAGTGGATCGGTTTCTGTTTCCATCAGTAGCCGAGGTGGTTGTGTAGAACAGGATTTCTCCTACGACTGCGGCATGTACTCACATTTGCAGGGGAATCTGACTGTGTGTGACTGCTGTGAATCATTTCTTCTGACAAAGCCAGTATCATGCAAACACTTGATGAAATCACACAGCTGTCCTGCACTGACAGTGGCTTCTTGTCGAAGGGCAGATGGCTATTGGTCTGATTGTGGCACACAGTCTGCTCACTCTGATTATGCAGATGAGGAAGACTCCTTTGTCTCAGACAGCTCTGACCAGGTGCAGGCCTGCGGACGAGCCTGCTTCTATCAGAGTCGAGGATTCCCTTTGGTACGCTACGCTTACAATCTACCTAGAGTTAAAGACTGAATTGATGTGTTTGTAAACATTTCCCCCACCAACCAAAATCACAGTGTTTAGAGAGTGAACCTTATTCTGATCTTTCATCTGGAAAGCACTTCTGTAATCACTGACTGGGGTCACTTAGAAGAAGGGGAAGATGTTATTATACTCAAACCATACATTTTCGAAGAACAAGTGCCTAAATTACAAATTAGTAAAAAATGCAATGTTCAAGCAGTGTGGTTTATTCAAAACAAATTTTTAACTTGAAAAAGGATTTTAGGTAGAGTAGCAATATAACGTTGAAGGAGGCCTGGTGGCTCAGTGGTTAAGCACTTGGCTGCTAATTGAAAGGTTGGCAGTTTGAACCCACTAGCTGCTCTGCAGGAGAAAGATGTTGTGGTCTGCTTCCGTAAAGATGAACAGCCTTGGAAACCCTATAGAGCAGTTCTACCCTGTTCTGTAGGGTTGCTGTGAGTCAGAATTGACTTGATGGCAACGGGTTTGGTTTTGTTTAGCAATACAGCATTAGCTTTCTCCGATCTGTAAGAAGCAAATTTATACCTATTTCTGAATTAAGCACAAGATAAAGAACAGCTGTTAATATTTTTCTAGAAATTATGTTGAAATGTGATTTTTATGTACCTGAAGTAAACAATCTTGTTGATTTCAGCATTTTTTAGTATATTAATCTCAGGACAATTTACTACAGGGCCAAAAAAGGGATCATCTCCCAGGGAGAACTGTGAAAGTATACATAGGCATTACTTTACTATGGTTTATATTTCCATCTTTGATATAATAGAATCACAGATTTCACTATAGCGATTTATAAATCTAAAACCTTAGGTTTTTAAAATAATATTAACAGCTGTTAGAGAAAAAATAGCTGGACAGTTGTTTTCAGTCATTATATATTGCTTTGGTACAATTACATAATTTTTTCCCCTCTCTTTTATGATCATACTACTAGGAAAAAGTAAAGGGCTAATAGCTGTGTGAATTTTATAGATTTGGTTAAACTGGTTAACTAGTATGGGGTTTTTAATAGTATCTGAAAGATTTGGTGGCTCCATGTAATGTTCCCATTAATAAAAGCACTCCAGTTGCTAACCAACGGTGAGCGGTTCAAACCTTCCAGCCGCTCCATGGGAGAGCGATGTGACAGTCCTTCTCTGTAAAGATTTAGAGTCTTGGAAATCCTTTGGGGCAGTTCTACTCTGTGTCCTTCAGGGTTGCTATGAATTAGAATCAACTTGGTGGCAGTGGGTGTGGTTTTTGTTGGAATATCATTGGCTCTACAGAATTTTCCAATTTTATTGGTATGGTACCTATTTATGGCTTGAACTATATAGAAAGTAGACTGCAGTAAATAATTACATTTAATTGGAAGAAATTGGAAGTAATTATGAAAGCACTTACATTTATTTCTTAATGAGCTGGATTTTCCTGAACGTGTACTATTACATTGAAACTTTCATACATTTTCCCCTTACTTTGATTACAAAAGGCAGCTCTGGTGGCATAGTGCCTAAGGCATTTGACTGCTAACCGGAAGGCTGGTGGTTCAAACCCACCAGCCACTCCTCAGAAGGAAGATTGGGCAATCTACTTCTGTAGTGATACATGATTACAAAAGAGTTTATTCAACAGCTCAGATGCTGAGCTCTGGTGAGAAACGACAAATGTCATTAAGAAAAAGAAAATGTTATTAAGAAAAACAAGAAATAGGAATAAAGTTTAGTCCTGTGTTTCTAAAAACTGAAATTTTACTTGATTCTCATGTATGTATGGGCTTTTGTTTGGCATGTCACTATAGAGTCTTAAAGTTATAAATATTCAATGTCTTTTGAACAATATGCTAAATCAATAGCAAACCCATTCCCATGTTAGTTGTTCTGGATATACTAAAAAACATTAAGCTAGATTGCAGTTTAATAATTAAACTGTATATACTGTGCATATAATGACTTTTTATCTTATGTAAATTATTTTTAGAACACGAGTTGGGAAATGTGGCTTCTGTTCATTTTGTTTAATTAAAGCTACCTCCTAAACTATAGTGGCTGCCAGTAGCAGAACGTTAAATTGTGGTTTATATACTTTTTTGCATTGTAAATAGTCATGGTTGTACATTGTCAGTATAATAAAAACAGAATCTTTGTATATCTAAATCATGTAGTTTGTACAAAATAAGGGAGGAAATTATTTACAGTGTGTTGTAATTTTGTAAGGACAACTATTCACAAGTTTTAAAAATTGCTATCATGTTTGTATATTTACATATGTGATAAATATTAAATCATAACTTGGTAAAATATCTTAGTGAAAAGTCTTATTTTTTCCCAAAATTTACATGGCTAAAAACTGTTTATTTCATTCATTTTTAAAAAATAAAAAAGCAAATATAAAAAATATTTGGTAAACTACTATAAATATGGCATGAAATATAATACTGTACACAGGGTTTGAAATGATTAAATTTTCTAGAAAGCAATCTATTTTGCCTTAATTTCCAACTAGGTATATATTAATGAATTTACTTAGTGCTAAAGTAAGAAAAGGAGCTCTGGTAGCGTAGTGCCTAAGGCACTTGACTGCTAACCAGAAGGTTGGCGGTTCAAACCCACCAGCCACTCCTTGGAAGGAAGGTTGGGCAATCCTACTTCCGTAGTGATACTGCCTCAGAAACCCAAGGAGGGGTCGCTATGAGTCGGGTCCGACTCAAGGGCACATAACAACAACAACAACAAAGTAAGAAAATTAAAGTAGAATTATTAATAATTTTCATAATAAAGTGAAAAGTAGTGGAAGTTATGTTGGAAGTAACCATTAAAAAACACTTTTGATACTTATATACATTTAAGAATGTTTTGCTGAAATTTAGAAGGTTTTATCTTACCTTAGTCTGAACCATTCCGTGGAAAACAAATTGTGAAATTTAAGAGCATACCATCAGTTATTTAAAAGTCAATGATTTTTAAAAATCTGCATAATATAAAATGTACTCTATTACCCACAAATATCTTAGTATTCATTATTGCTAAGTCCTCATTTTAAAAATGAGGAAATGGAGCGTTTAATGAAATTTAACTGAATACCTGAGTTACAAACCAAATCAGAACCCAAACCAAAACCCCACTCCTCTTATTTCTGGACATAGTTTGTTTTTCAATTTTAATATATATTTGAAATTTCCATAACACCACGTTACCTACCCTTCATCACCCAACTTTGAGTTTTATCAGTAGCATATGGTCAGCCTTGTTTTATTTTTATCCCACTCAGTAAGCCCCTCCAATGCCCTTTGGAATATTTTGAAGCAAATCTAAGACATCAATCATATAGTTTCATCTGTAAATACTTCAGTATGTCCTGAGGTAATTTTTTTTTTAAGTTGCATAATGCTTTGCCATAGGGCTGACTGGTAAAGGGTTATTTTTGTAACAGAAGCTTACAGATAGGAATTTTTAAGCAAAAGTCACTCAGAGAGCCAGCAAGAAATAACAATTCTCTCAAATATATCATGAAAGTGAAAATAAATGAATACTGGAGGGAGATGCTGCTAGGTCAATGCACTAAAGTTTCAAGGGAGAGGCCCTCTTGACCTTAAACTAAAACCAGACCCACTGCCATCGAGTCGATTCTGACTTGTATCGACCCTATACTACAGGCTAGGAGCTCTGGTAGCATAGTGCCTAAGGTACTTGACTACTAACCAGAAGGCTGGAGGTTCAACCCACCAGCCACTCCTCGGAAGGAATGTTGGGCAATCTACTTCTGTAGTGATACTGCCTCGGAAACCCAAGGAGGGGCTATGAGTCGGGGCTGACTCCATGGCAAATAACAACAACATACTACAGGCTAGAACTACCCCATAGGGTTTCCAAGGCTGTGAATGTTAAGAACCGATTACTTCATGTTGTCTCCCATGGAGTGGCTGGTGGGTTCCAAACAATCTTTCCATTAGCAGCTAAGTGCTAATGCACCACCAGGGCTCCTTCGTTTGTGCTTGCTTATATATTTATAATTCCAAGCTTGATTATGGCTTCTCAGCCCCATCAATGAAAAGGCACTGTAAGAAAGAAGATCCCAAGAATCCATTATGTTCAAGCACCAGCACCTCTTAGCCTCTGGGGCTCCAGGGTTGTTACAGCATAATGCAATAGTTGATCATAATGATGACCCTGTGACATCAAAGAAAAAATTACGTTTTGTTTAGTAAAATGTTTTAAGGAGGCATAGATGTACAGGATACTTTAGATTCCCATACCAAAGGGATAACGGTCGGTGGTTTGGGTGACATAATTTACCATTTATCTGTCAGCTAGGAGCTAGGAGCTTTGAGCTGTAATGAGATAGTACAACTGTGTAGTCAATTATTTCCCTATTTTACAAAGTAGTGAAATAAGCCTTGGAAAGATCAGACAGCTTGTTCTGAGACACAGCAAGTAAGTGATTTCAAGTGCAGGTCCTTTTTTATGCTAAAACTTGTTTTTCCTACTCCATTTATGTAGGTTTTGTCTATTGGGAAATAGCTTCTGAATATTACCTCCTTTATGAAGCCCTAAAGGGGCCCAGGGCCTTTTGATGGTGGTGGTTTGATTCTAGAAATGTACAGATAAAAGGATTTAACCAGAGAAATGCCAATACTGAGTAACTGGGATAGAGTAGGCATACTGCATTTTACTCCTTGAACAATCTTCTTAATGACAGTTGCATTTCTCCAATTTTCTCCCATTTTCCATTTATCTTTACTGAAAAATTTGGCAAGTTTTCTACTTAGTTTTGACCATGTATTTAAAAATTATAGCTTCTACATTCTGAACCTTAAAAAAAAAAAAAACAACTACTGTCACTCTGGCTCATAACGACCCCCACTGCGTTTCCACGGCAGTAAATCTTTATCTCTCTTATGGCAGCTGAGCTGGTGAGTTGGAACAGCCAACTTTGTGGTTAGTATTCAAATTCCTTACGCACTGCACCACCAGAGCTCCTTATTTTGAACCTTAAACCAAAAAAACCAAACTCATGGCTATCCAGTGGGATGACTTATAGTGTGACCCCTCTGAGGAGGTATCACTATGGAAGTAGATTGTCCAATCTTCCTTTCCAAGAGTGGCTGGTGGGTTTGAACCACCAGGTTTCTGGTTAGCAGTCAAATGCCTTAGGCACTCATAGCTAGTTGTGTGTCACATTTTGCAGATAACAATTTTGTCAAAGATTTTGCTCTCTTAAGCCAATAACAAATTTCACTGTGTGCTGTTTTAGCCATTATGAGTTTTTACTTTGTGATATTTTTACCAGTAACACGCATTATAACTGAAGGGGACAGAAACTACTGATTTTCAAGTATGTACAGTTTTGTCAGCAGTAGCATTAAGCATCCAACTTGAATGCCCCTCACCTCTGTAAAGCTACCCTCAACCCTATTGCCAGTCCTTAAGAGAAGGATGCGCTGTCTGTGGTTCCACAAAATGTTTTCTTCTTTCATAAAATACAGATCACAGCATATTTTAACGTTGTATTTCTTTACCAAAAACAATGAAGAGCTTGGAGTAAGGGGACATAACATTAAAAAAAAAAAAAAAACGCACCACTAAACTCATTGCCATCTAGCCGATTTGGACGCAAAGCGACCCACTTTGGATTTTCGAGGTGGTAAATCTTTATGGTACCAGATTTCCCAGTCTGCCTTCCGCGGAGTGGCTGGTGGGTTTGAACCACCAACCTTCTGGTTAACTGTCAAATACCTTAAGCACTGAGCCATCAGAGCTCCAGAGCTCCAGAGCTCCTTCAGCACACATTAAAGCCAAAAAATTCACCCGCATAACAAACTAGATCTCTGAAGACGGCTGGCAAAGGAGATACTACTCAAAACAGTAAAAGCTTGTTCCAAAAGTGCATTCTTGGATAGTTAAATTTCGCTCTCTCCCCCACATGAAATATAGCCATGTGCCGAGTAAAGTTAGGACCGATGCCCATAGTCCTGGCCTTTCAGAACATGAGGGTATATTTGGCTTCTGCCTCTTTCCCTTTAAAAGCCTTTCTTGGTGACAGGTAGCACTTTTCATATGCCGTATTATCTGTAACTATTTTCGACCCAACGGCAAGTAAGGGACGGGCCCTCAAAGTCGTCAGCCGGAGCACCGACCTCGCCGCTGAAGGAAGCGCCGAGCTAAATAAAGTCGGGAGCAGCAAGCACTCTGCGGACGCGGGAAGAAGTGCCGAGATTCACCTACCAACGGCCTGGGTGGAGGAAGCCACGCTAGGCAGGCCGGGACAAAGCCCTCCTGGCCTCCACGCGCCGCCACGGCAACGGGACGCGCTTGCCGTCTCGGATTGGCCATGCTGGCACTCGCAGAGCCTGCTGGGAGAGCAAGTCCCCGCCGCGGCGCCGCCGGTTTGAACTTCGCGGGCCAGATGTGGGCGGTAGGCCGGTCCGGGGCTGCTTCTCCCCTTCGGTATACACAGTTCCCCGCGGACTGCAGGCCTAGGTCTCGACATTCCTCAGGCTCCTTCTCCATCCTCATGGCGGGCGCCCGGAGGCAGGGGCTGGAGATGGTGGCGGTGTCTGCGCGTTCTCCGTCGCCGCCGCCGAGCTGTAGCAGTTCCACCATGTCGCTGTTGTCTCCCCTGGGCCACCAGAGCTTCACGTTTGACAAGGATGACAGTGACGAGAAGGATGAGGAAGACGTGGAGGAAGCTTGTTTTGACTCCGAGGCAAAGGTGGCAAGTCTGAAAGGAATGGAGTTACAGGGGTGCGCCAGGTAAACCAGAGGCCGCCCGGCCGATCCAGCCGTTCTCAAGATATCTTAGACCCTGTCAGTACCTTCCTCTGTTGGCCAAACACACTCTCGTTTTCTGCTTCAGAGGCGGTGCTGCTCCTTTTTTGCACGTAAAGAGTTGAGGTTTTCTTGTGACGCATAAGCAGCAAAATCCTTCATGAGTTTTTAGGATTGACAACATTGTCTTCTATGATTCTTAATCCCTTTTCCTGAGAATATGATGATTGTTACAATCTCACTCCCCAGAAAAATGCTATGTAAGAATTTAATGAACCTTCCAAAGGCAGACTGTGGACTCCCCAAACTCTTGTTCAAACCCTTAACACCAAAATGTGCTTTACTGTGTCTTAGTATTACCTGTGGTGATTTTGAAAAATCTACACATTTCTAGTGAAGTAGGTTGTTGTAAGCAGAACACTTGGTCAAAGATAGAGAGCTTAATCAGGAAGACATGAAGCACAGAGTCAGGGATGCTAACCTCTGCCTTCCGAGCCAGGATAGGGTTTGATCTAAACAATACCTTAGAGTGGGATAGAAATCATTGAATCAAAAACACATTAGAATCAAAGAGGTTGTTAACACTGCCTTAAATTGTTTATTTCTACAATTATTCATTCAGCGAACGTATTCAGCGAACGTTTATTCTGTGCCACAATACTAGTCTAGTGTTTGGGACTGTAAAGATAGACATGCTCTCTACCCTCATGGAATTAAATCCTAGATTCTTCTCATTTTACAAATAACAAAACTGCGGCTCAGGATACAAATAAAAAGCCTGATCCAAAGGCATACACCTCGTTATTAACAGAGCTGAGGCTAATACCACGATGCACCATATTCCCTATACTATACTACATGACTGTTACTGGATTTCCAGAAATAGCAGCAAAGGGCCTACCCCTGCAGGAATATCTTTTTCTGAGACAGACCTGAGTAATGCAGGTCCATTCTGAGGTACATTCATTATATCATCTTCAGAAAACTTAAGTTCCTAATTGTCAAGCTGTGTGGAGCACAGTATAGGAGATCCAAGAAAGATCAGAGAACATATACTTAATGTATAAGTATTAAGCTAGTCTCCTTGAGTATAAGTCATTTAGACACAGTGAGAGTGAATGGGATATGGACCCCTATGAGTGAGCCATACACAAGGGTACAAAAGTGAGTCTCCTAAAGATGAACAGTAAAAGTGAAGTACGTGATTGGAGTGGAGATGAGAAACAGTAACCAAGCAAATCACTTCTCCAGACTGGCCTTCTCCATCAATCTGGTAGCAGAATTTAATAGTAGAATTGAATTTCACAAGTCCATTTTCATTTGGGCCTGTACGGGGATCTTTAACATTGAGTGGGTACCAATTTTTTTTTTTGTAGTAAGTGTTTTTTAAGATTTTAGAAAATATATTCCGTGTATAAACAACAAGATTGAGTCATGTGAAGGAGTGAATAACCATAATACTACAGCTCAGCTACTGAGACCTTGCATCACCTTCTAGAAGCAAAAGTCTGACGAAATGGAACCCACCAGGGAAGGAGCCAGACATATCTCACGCGATCCAAAGCCTCAATGAACTAATCACGCTGTAGGGTTAAGGCTGCCTTTAAA